TATCCCGTATGCAATTCTAATAAAATTCCTTCGGCAATGTAAGCCGCCTTAATAACAAAAAAAAAAAAAAAAAAAATTAAAATATATGTAGTTAGAAACTAGTATTTTAATTTGAATTAAACAATTTAATTTTTAAAAAATCACCAAAGGCTAGTTTTTTTAGACTATGACTCATATGCATTATTTCACAACTATACAGTAAGCCATATATATATGTAATACATGATGACTATATTCAGATAATTAAGAGAAAAATATTACAGTTTCATTAAAGAGACATGATTTATTAAAGCCAATTTGAATTTGTTTATAGCTATACAACAAATATCAGTCTAATTTTTTTTTATTAAAGAGAAAAATAGACGAAAAATTTTTATTCAAATATTTTTTTTTTTAAAAAAAAAAATTATATAATTGATAATTTAACGTAGATATATTGTAATGCATTTATCTGATTGACCAATCAGAATTTAAAATCAGATGTAATGTGAAAATCAAAACAATAGTAAGTTTTTAAAGAAAACATGAAAAATGATTAAAATCTTAAAAAAATTTCTTTCATAAAAATGTTTTATTCTTTGATACTTTCTAGTATTAAATTATTTTTAAAAAACTTTATTAAAAAAAATCTTCCTATCACCTTGAATAATATAACTATTAATGATTTTAATAAGTTTCTAGAATCAGTAAACAATAAGATTATAAATAAATAAAAAGGAGAATTGTTGGAATTTTTTATACACCAATTCTTTTTAAAAAATAGAATACTATCTTATATTAATAAAACATTTATTTATTTTAGCCAGAAGAATTATAAAAAATTTTAGATAGCAATATTGATATTCATAGACAATATAAAGTTTTATTTTTCTTAGTCCAAAGTAAATGGTAAATTTTTTTCTTGGACTTGCAGTAGTTTTGAGAAGATACATAATATATGCTAGAAGTTAGAACCAGTTTTAAAAATTCAAGTTTATCATATTAATCATTAATAATTCATATGATAAACTTGAGTTTTTAAAAAGGTTTTAACCTCTAGTATATGCAAAATGTAATTCTGTGAGAGAAAATTTGTGTAGTTACTTATATAGATATTTAGATTAATTCGACATCATATTTACAATTTTTTTTTAATCTGTAAACTAAATCCTCAATATACAGTCAAAGTTGATGAAATACAAAAATTGGTGAATATTATCTTTAAAAAACCTGAAACTTTCATTAGATTTCTTGTCTCAAATGTAGTATTAAATATTTATGCATAACAAGAATTAAAAGATTCAAAGATCAAGTATAGGATTTGTATTTGCTTTTTTCATAAAATTGTTAATAAGATATTCAAATACGTACAAATTCTAGAACAAAATCAAGAAAAATGTAAAAGGGAAATGGAAAAGAAAAAATGAAAATTTATAGAATTAACTTATGAAAATAAATTACTTAGAGAAGAAAATAAAAGGCTCAAAGAAGAGAATATTAAAGAACTTAAAGATCAAATTGAAAATCTTAAAAAATTTAATGAAAAATTTGAAAACCAAAATAAGGAATTTAATGAAAAACTTAATTTGATTTTAAAAAAACTTGATTGAATTTTATTAGAGATTTAGATTATATTTTTTTAATATGCATAATTATATGATAAGAATAAAAAAATCTAGGTCCTTAATGTATTAATAGAATCGATCCAGGACTCAGTTGTAGCAATTGAAAATTTTTTCTATTGCATTATAGAAGATATAAAGAGCAATAGCCAATTACTTGGGGGTATCGAATATTTTAAAAAAGGATACAAAAAAGCTGAATCATTATCAGGTAGGAGGTTGGCTTCTTATCTATATTAATGAAATTCTACTATACAAGCTGAATCAATATGAAGTGGAGCCAAAATCTGAGTGCAACCAGCATCTATCCAATAAAGAAAGCATAAGATACCTCAAGAAAATGTTGATCCAACTGTGATGGGTGCACGCAAAAAGAGAAAAACTTCAAAAAAAACACATAATTTATCTAAGAATATTGCCAAAAATAAACCAAATTAAAAGTTTTAAATTAATAAGAAATATTAATAGTAACTTTAAATTAAATATTTATTACAATGTAATCGAAATTTATTAAACGAATTAATAAAAATTATTCAACAAATTATTATCGTTATATTTTTTTTGCTGATATATTTGCATTCCGAAGTAGTTGTCCGAAGTGGCCGTCTGAACCTTCTGGAGCAGCAACCTTGCACATATTTTCAGGGTGCAATAATATTTTATCAAAAACAAAAAAAAGGCTACTCAATTCATTTCTGAATATCACCTATTTTATTTTCTGATTTCAAAATTTCAAAACAGAAATAGGATGTTTTAAACCCCTATTTATTTTTGAAATAAGTTAACTTTGAATCACCCTAATTACAAAGATAAATTATTATGACATATAGAATTAAAGAAATAATTAGAACGGTATTAATAAATAACAGTCTTCAATAAGCAAATACATTTACTATATGTAGCTCACTAAGCTTAATATGGAAATAAAAAATAAATAAATAACATAATATTTAATGCCTCTTAACTGGTGTATTAAAACTAATTTAAACTAAATAGAACTCTCAAATTCGGATTCATACATAAGATCCAACCTTTATATTAAATCTGACTCGAGATTAGAGAGATGGGCAAGCTAATAATATAAGTAATAATTACTTATTTTTTTACCTAGTACTTATACTTTTGTATAATTACCAATTATTACTTATGATGAATAATTATTACTTACTACGATTTTCAAATGTAATCTGGAATGTAAATTTTTAAACTCAATAATTTGTTGAACAGATTAAATTTTGCATACATCATAATTCTTTACTTATTATTATTTATTACATAAAAAATCGTAGGAATTAATTAAAAATAATAATATGTTACTTACTTTGCCCATCTCTACTCAGGATAGACATTTGAACGAAGACCAATATAAGATCATCACATTATATAGTCCAATAATGAGTATTTCGAAAAGGATCGCATCCAATACATTATTTTTTACTTTTTAGTAGGATCAAGTAAT